ACTCTAAAAGCTGGTCAGAGTGACCCAAATACAAGTTCCTGAGCTATTTTTCATGGTATCTTGGGAGATAGTGAGTCGAACCAGTGGGTGGTTTGTGGGCCACTCCTCCAGCCAACACTGTTGTCACTCCCCTGCCTCGGTCCTCCAAGGGAAGAGAAGAGGTTGGCCCAGGCTCACAAACAAGTCACAGCCAGAGACATGAGTGCACCAATAGGACGATAGTAGACGCTGCAAAACCTCCGGTCTATTGGTGGAATGAAGACAGACAGGGAGCTGGACAGAGACCAAGTGAAGAGAGAAGTGAGAATGCTGAGCTAGCAATTCAGGGAGGAGTAAACAATGTGAACCTAACACAGCCAGCTTCTCTGCAGTCAGCAGGACGGCTGGGGATGGGCTCCTAAGCATAAATTCCTCAAGCCCCTAAACATGGCTCACTCAAATCCCCGCATGAAGGACTACTTTCTTTGTCCTCTGTCACAATGCAGCTCTCCTTGGTGGAGCCATCTGCAGTTTGAATGAAAGAAATCAGGAATCCTGACCTACTCCACAGTCAAGTGATCAAGATGGTAGTAGCTTCTTAGAGTCTGGGTTTCCTTGCCAGTAACTGGGGAAGAGCAGTGACCAGCTTCATCTTGCAGGGCCAGTGGGAGCACAGGGTGAAGAGGGTTCTAACATGCTTTGAGAACCTTCAGGCACCAGCACTATTAGTGCTTCACAGCTATTGGCCCGTTTTATACTCAAAACAGCCCTAAAGGTAAGTCTAATTACTTTTTAGATGAGGAGTCACAGGAAAGTAATATAAAAAGAGCTCTGTCTCTGCAATAAATTTTTTAAAATGTATTTATTGATTTCAGAGAGGAAGGGAGAGGGAGCAAGAAACATCAATGATGAGAGAGAATCACTGATTGGCTGCCTCCTGCACACCCCACACTGGAAATCAAGCCCGCAACCCAGGCATATGCCCTGTCCAGAAATCGACCATAACCTCCTGGGTTCGTAGGTCAATGCTCAACCACTGAGCCACATTGGCTGGGCCCCCCCCCCACCCCCAATGAATTTAATTTTAAAAAAAATGAAGAGCTCTGTGTAACCCCATGCTCTATTCTGTGTGCACAGCAACTGCATAAATCATTTTCAGCTCAGCTACAAATTCTGATTACTTGAGAAATGGTGCTATGGAGCCCTCACAGCCTCTGCAATAATTCCCTGAAACCCAACTTCCTCCTTTTTTCCCAAAACTTCTCATAAACAAGGGCCTGGCTTACAGAGGGCTCAGATGCCTTATGTCCCAAAGTGAACTTTGCCTTCCCTCAAACTGCCTCCTAGGCCCTACTACTTGAATTAATGGCGCGTGGGCCATGCTGGGAGTCTCACTCAGACTTGGTCCCTTGGCTGCCCTAAAATCACTGCTGATTATGTCTCGGGCCCATGTCAACCCTCAGGAAAAAACGGTGGTTTTCCCAGACAAACCCTACCAGTGTCCTCCCTTAGGACAGTCAACATACCTTCTAGCATGATCAGAAGGCTGGTCCTGACTCCATCCATAGTCTCACTACCCCCACACTCCAACTACACTCAATTTGAACACAAACTTCCACTTTCACATTTCCATAGTTTGTACGTACGTGACCTGGGTAGCAAAGTCCTTTCTGACTGTCCCTGTTGGGAAACTCTCACTTATCTTTCGGGGCCCAACTCAACGTCACTACCTCTGTAACCCTGGGACAAGCAGATTGCTGCCTCCTCTGTGCCCCTGCAGCACTCAACACACATCCCTATGACAACCACAGAATCCTGCTTTGAGGAACAGTACTAATTTTAAAACTTCAGTCCTGCTGTCACCACAACAAACACATATGTACTTGTCAGGCCAAGTCTTCCAATTCTTGGTTCAGAAATCACAGTCTCTACAGAAACAGCATTAACACCAGTACATGCTAGGTACTGGTTTCCACAGATGTTCGCCAACCAGATGTTAGCTCCTAAAGAACAAGAACTGTCTCTTAATTCCCTTTTTTCCTCCTCAGTGCTTATAGCAATGCCTGAGAAAGAACAGATACTTACAGTATGGATAAATAAACCACGGACTCATTGCCACTGAAAGATCTACCTGACATATGTCTCAAGGTGCTAAAAGCTTCTGTGACTTGTGGAATCTCTGCCCACATCCGTTGCAAGGGCCAGGCCCTTGCTTTTTCTTACACAGAAAACCCTATATGGATAGGTAAGACAAGGATTCTTTTCTTCATTTGACCGATATAGTAAGAGATCAGTGAAGTAACATGGGAAACCCCACACTTCCTGTCTTCCCATGCCACTGTCTCTGTCGGGTGATTTCCACACCATCAGTTCCCATCTGCTCATGGTTTGCTATACACCAACCAGGTCCTTAAAGTTAGGGGTGTGCAGGTGAAGCAGATTAAAAGCAGTGACATCAGGTGCCCACGGGCCTATCTGACAAAGCCAAAACTTTAACCTGATGTTGTTGGGCTCTAACACCCGTCCTCTTTCCACTTCACATGCTGCCTCAGGACTTTCGGAAAACTTGAGCGACAAGGCTTATTTTGCAGTGAGGATGTTGCCACTGGTATCAAGAACAGGTTTCACCCTAACTGGTTTGGCTCAGTGGATAGAGCGTCGGCCCATGGACTGAAGGGTCCCAGGTTCGATTCGGGTCAAGGACATGTACCTTGGTTGCAGGCACATCCCCAGTAGGGGGTGTGCAGGGGCAGCTGATTGATGTTTCCAACTCTCTCTCCCTCTCCATTCATCTCTGAAAAAAATCAATAAAATATATATTTTTTTAGAAAGAAAGAAAGAAAGAAAGAAAGAAAGAGAAAGAAAGAGAGAGAGAGAGAGAGAGAAAGAAAGAAAGAAAGAAAGAAAGAAAGAAAGAAAGAAAGATAGATTTCTTCAGCCCAGCCGGTATGGCTCAGTGGTTGAGCATCAACCCATGCACCAAGAGGTTGCCAGTTCGATTCCCAGTCAGGACAGGCCCAGGTTGGGGGCTTGATCCATGGGGAGTAGAGGAGAGGAGAGGCAGCCAGTTGATGTTTGAAGTTTTCTCACATCAATGTTTCTCTCTCCCTCTCCCTTTTTCTCTCTCTAAAATCAATATATATATATATATATATATATATATATATATATATATATATATATATATATATATTTTTTTTTTTTTTTTTTTTTTTTTTTTTTAAGACCAGATTTCTTCAGACAAGCAATATGACCTAGAACTTCTTTCTTATCTAATGGTCCTTTGGCTATCTCTGATCAAAACTGAAAGAGTCAAATCAATTTTATTTAAATAGGAATAGCAATGAGCAAAGCCAGATCCTTGACTGGAAAGACTATGGATGCAATCTTTAAAAAGAAGCTGGTTCTTCTTACCTACCCTTACCTTCTCTTTTGGAAGTGCCACAAGACAATGATTGTAGGGCCAAGGGAAGCTTTAGTCAAGGCTGAAGGTCCTGAAATCTGGAGACCCCAGCCCCGGGGTGAGACTTTACCTCGGGGAATGAGAGATCCAGTCCCCAAAAAGGGGAGCGGGAACCTGCCGGAGCTAAGTAAACGGTGTATAATTTTACAAGGTTAACCTCTCTGTGTAAACCTGAGGCCTGCATCCCAAGTAATCTGCAAAAACAAGTTTACATAACAGGCCTTTGTGTTGTCCCAGATAAGGGAGAGTAGAGGAACAGTCAGAATGTTTTAAGGATTTAGATCCAACTGAAATTTCCTAGGGGACAGACAGGCTGGGGAGGAGTGAGGTGTGGGAGAGGGGCAGGTTAAGAAATAATGTGTCTAAGCATGAGTGGACCAAGAGAATATTCTGCTCAGTGAAATAAGTCAGAGAAAGACAAACACTATATGATTTCACTTACATGTGAAATCTAAAGAACAATATAAACAAACAAACAAACAAACAAACAAACAAAATAGAAACAGACTCATAGATATAGAGAATAGACTGGTGGTTGACAGAAGGGATGGGGATTGGGGAACTGGGTAAAAAATGTGAAGGGATTAAGAAATACAAATTGGCAGTTACAAAAACAATCATGGGATGTATAGTACAGCACAGAGAATATAGTCAATAATACTGTAATAATTAGATATGGGGCCAGGTAAGTGCTGGAAATATTGCAGGGAACACTTTGTAAAATTTATGATTGTCTAAATTTAGTTTCAGGTACACAATACTGTACACCTGAAACTAATTCAAAATAATATTGAATGTAAACTATAATTGAAAAATATTTTAATTTAAAAATTAAAAATAATTTGTCTAATCTATGGAGAAAAATAGTAACAACGGCAATAAAATAATTCCTTATATTTGTGATTCCTTGGTGGGCGTTGTTTTTTAATAATCACCCAAGGATATTTTTTCATTGATTTTAGAGAGTGGAAGAGAGAGGGAAAGACAGAAATATCGATGTGAGATATACACATCAATTGGTTGCCTCCTGCATGTGCCTCGACCAGGCCTTGGCTGGGGAGGAGCCTGCAACTGAGGTATGTGCCCTTGACCGAATTTGAACCCGAGACCCGGCCCTTCGGCCCACAAGCTGATGCTCTGTACACTGAGCCAAACTAGCTCGGGCTCCTTGGTTTTATTTATGATACTTTTTTAGCAGAACTTTTTAAAAAATATATTTTTGTTGATTTCAAAGAGGAAGGGAGAGGGAGAGAGATAGAAACACCGATGATGAGAGGGAATCATTGATCGGCTGCCTCCTGCACGCCCCTTACTAGGGATCGAGCCCCCAACCCAGACATGTGCCCTTGGCTGGAGTCAAACCTGGGACCCTTCAGTCCACAGGCCGACGCTCTATCCACTGAGCCAGACCAGCGAGGGCTAACAGAACTTTTTAGTCAAATGAAAACAAGTGGGACCTCAATACAAAACTAACTAAAATTAGTGTTGTTCTGGCTGTGGGAGAAGCTCATTAAGGCTCTTCTGAACCAGTGGTCTCCTGACCTTCCCCCTTCACCCCACCATATCCCCAGGCACTGGAGCTCAGAGGAGCTGGAAAACCAACAGGTGATCTATCTCTAAGGTTCCTTAAAATTAAATCGAGCAAAAGCCAGCATTTCAGGAAAAGGGAGTTCAGGAGATCACACCAGATGCTTGTTGGACACCGGACAGAACCTGGAAAGGTTCTAAAACTAAATCCCTGATGTGGACATGCTTCTGTTCATCAAAAGTTCCAGTTAAAATCCCACTGATGAAACGATAGGGGCAGAAAACAGATCAGTGTTTGCCAGGGCTGGGGTGAAGGGAGACAGTAACACAAAAGGATACAAGGGAACTTTCTGGATTGATGGAAGTGTTCTAGACCCTGATTGTGGCTGTGGTTACAGGACTGTATGTTTGTCAAAGTTCACAGAACTATACCCCTAAAAGTGGGTGAAGTTAACTGTATGTAAATTAAACCTCAATAACCCTGTTTTTAGTTACATTGCTGGAAGACACCTCACAGCTATTTTACAGATGAGAAAACAGTCTTTGAGAGGAAAGATGACCTGTTCCTGATGAGTCAGTAGAGCCCAGATCGCCTGACTTGAGAGACTGTCCCTCACCCACTCAGCTTGATTATTTTTTTAAACATATTTTAGTGACTTTTTACAGAGAGAAAGAGACAGGGAGAGAGAGTTAGAAACATCAATGAGAAAGAAACACCAATGAGCTGCCTCCTGCACACCCCCTACTGGGGATGTGCCCACAACCAAGGTACATGCCCTTGACCGGAATCGAACCTGGGCCCTTGAGTCCGCAGGCCGACCCTCTGTCTCCTGAACCAAACCGGTTAGGACCACCCACTCAGCTTTAATTCAGAGCCTCCTCCGTGCACCAGGCCTCAGATGTCTCTGACTGCAAAATGAGGTAAAAACTGCCACAGGCTTTCCCACTTCTAAGGAGGAGGAGAAAGATCTCAATGCTTTGGAATCAGAAAAACTGAAAGAAAAATTCCAACTTCTATCACTCACTAGCAGTGCGCTCTGGTGCAGGTGTGTCCTGCGTGACAGGGGTTAGTAGTGAGAGCACCTCTATAAAACAGCTGGCAAACAAACTCTCAAGAAGGGCGATAATTCTACACTGCTGTCCTATCCTGCGTCCCACCTGGCTGCTTCCTAAGAAAACTCTGGAGGTGACCCTGAGAAAAAGAAAGAACGAACTGCGGGCTCTGCGTTGCATAACCTGTGCTCTGTACACGGGACAGCCCGCTCCAAAGGGGCACAGGCTGTTATCTCGCCGGGTAAACAGGAACACCCTGCGCCCTCCTTGACCACCTTCAGCACAGGCCACCACAAACAGTGCAGTCGGAGCGGGCTTACAGCTTGAGAGCGCGCCACTGCTGATCAAGCCTGTATTTTTTTAAAAATATATTTTATTGATTTTTTTACAGAGAGGAAGGGAGAGGGATAGAGAGTTAGAAACATCGATGAGAAAGAGACATCGATTAGCTGCCTCCTGCACACCCCCTACTGGGGATGTGCCCGCAACCATGGTACATGCCCTTGACCGGAATCGAACCTGGGGCCCTTCAGTCCACAGGCCGATGCTCTATCCACTGAGCCAAACCGGTTTCAGCCAAGCCTGTATTTTAATACTCAGCTTTCCCTGTGGCTTCTGGTCACAGGGCACAAACTTGCCCATGGATATATTCCACCCATCCCACAGCCCTTTCCTGGCCACCTGCTCTAAAAGGGGTGGTCCCAAATAATGACTCAGTGCTGCCTGCCACACCTTGCTTTTTTCCCCCCTTCTGTTCCAAGGAGACCAAAACCACACAGAAACCCAAAAGACTATTTAAAACAAAATAAAACAAACAAAAAACCCTCAGCCTGACGGGTGTGGCTCAGTGTTGAGCATCAACCTATAAACCAGGAGGTCACGATTCCCCGTCAGGGCACATGCCTGGGTTGCAGGCTCAGTCACCAGCAGGGGGCGAGTGGGAGGCAGCAGACTTCAACATTGGTGTTTCTCTCTCTCTCCCTCCCTTTCCTCTTTAAAATCAATAAAAATATTTTTTAAATATGTATTTAGAAATAAATAAAAAATCTTCAGGCCTGGCTGATATGGCTCCAGTGGTTGGAGCCTCGGTCCTGCACCTCAAAAGGTCGCCAGTTCAATTCTCAGTCAGGGCACATATCTAGGTTGTGGGTTCAATCCCAGGTCTGGGCACTTACACACTTACAGGAGACAAATCAATGTTTCTCTCTCACATCGATGTTCCTCTCTCTCTCTCTCTCTCTCTCTCTCTCTCTCTCTCTCTCTCTCTCTCTTTCTCTCTCTCTCCCTCCCTCCCTCCCTCCCTCCCTCCCTCCCTTTTTCTAAAAATCAGAGAACATGTCCTCAGGTGAGGAAAAAAACCTTCAGGCAGGTAGTTTCTGCTTCCACTGTCTCATCTACTCTAGATGCACCAGGGTCATGTAAAAACTATTGGCTTACTTTTTGTCCTTGAAGGAGCAGGAGGGAGGCAACACTGAGAAATTATCCAACTTTTGCAGGAACAAAGAGCTAAGTATCTGGGCCAAAGGCAACCATGAGCAAGCTACAGCTGACCAAGGCGGCACAGCCCCTACAGCATCAGGACTCAACAACTCCAATACCCTGGCTCAACTTCTCAAAAACACTTGCCCTGTACTGCCCCTGCCCAGTGCTCTTAAGAGTTGTCCTGGAGCTCAGCAGGCTCCAGTGGTTGAACGCTGACCTATGTACCAGGAGGTCATGGTTCAGTTCCCTGTCAGGGCGCATGCCTGGGTTGTGGGCACCATCCCCGTGTGGGGCATGCAACCGATCAAAGATTCTCTCTCATCATTGATGTTTCTATCTCTCCCTCCCTCTCCTTCCCTCTCTGAAATCAATATGAATATATTTTTTTTAAAGAATCAACCAATGAATGCAAAGTTCAGTGGAACACCAAATCAATGTTTCTCTGTCTCTTTTCCCCTCTTCCTCTAAAATTAATAAAGTAAAAGATAATCACAAGTTAAAGAAAATAAAAATAAAAATAAAATGTTGTCCTAGAGATCATGTGAACTCAACACCGTGAAAGAAGGAAAAGGATTTCTGTCCAGCGAAGCTAAGTAAAGTTCCTGAGCAAGAAAGAACAATGCTTTGTCCTGGTCTCCGACTCTGTTAAGAGAGGACTGACACCAGGTTAAGAAATTCTGATTCATAATCACAAATATTATTTATCAAACAACTGCCAGGACACTGTGGCAACTACATCCTGCTGTTTCTATTCCGAGTCGTTCGTTGCCAAAGGCTGGTCCTCTGCCCTACCTTCCGGTGTCTGCGAAATTTTCGGTTTCTGTACAACCCCGGCGGGGGGAGGGGGCCGCGCTGGCCTCGGACGGGTAAAGTTCCACCAGCGAGTCCACAAAGAGCCTGAGGGGCGTGGCCAGGCCGGAAACTCTGACCAAAAGTTTGGGCCCTCCGGCCCCACCAGCAACTGCTTCCTGCTCGCCGCCCGCCGCGGAGGGTCCTCCCCCCCAGGCCGCGCTCGGGCTCCCACCCGCAGGGACGAGTCCGGCCGGCCCGGCGTCCATCAGCCCCCGGCACCGAGGCGCTCAGCTGCCTCCCAATCACTTCGGAGCAAAGTCGAGGGTGTGAGTTCGCCAGGGCAGTCTTCTCCCCACGACCCCCAGACACCCCCAGACTCACACACACCCCAAGGCAGGCGCTGTGTGGACCGTACCTGGCTTGGACCCCAAGGCCCAGGCCTGCCCCAACAGGAGGGGGGAAAGGAAAAGCGAAAGGGGTTTGCCAGGCACCTCAGAACTGTCCCGGACGCCAGGGGCTGCGGGGACAGAACGCTCCCCGCCCCCGCCGAGGGGCACCCTCCAGGGGCACGGGCCCACCCGGTGCACGTCGGAGCCGGGGCTGCGCGGTGGCCGCAGAGGGCCCCCGGCGCGGGGACCCCAGGCCGGGCCTCCCACCTTGACCCGCTTGCCCTGGATCTCCAACGTCTTCATGGTGAAGTCCACGCCGATGGTGCTGCTCTGGCGCTCCGAGAAGGCGCCGGTCTTGAAGCGCTGCACCACGCACGTCTTGCCCACGCTCGCGTCGCCCACCAGCACCAGTTTGAACAGGAAATCGTACTGCTCGTCGGGGTCCCCCGGGCCCGGCCCTGCCATGGCTTCGCGGGAGCCGAGGGCCGGCGCTCCGGACGCTGGGGGCGGCCTGGGTTCACGGAAGCCACAGGCGCCGGGAGACGTGGAGCCACCCCAACACCTGAAGCTGGGGCGCCGCCGTTCACCGGCCCCGGTCCGCCCGGGCCGGCCCTCCGCCCCGCCCCGGCCAGCCCGAAGCCCGCCAGCCCGGCTCCGCCCCAACTCTCCTAATCCGGAATCTGCGGAGCGCGCCGCTGGCCCACGGTTGCGCGCCAGGCCAGTCCGGCCCTCAGGTCGGCCCTCAGCTCCTCCCCCGTCAGGCTCCGCCCATAGCTCCTCCCCTGCTAGGCTCCGCCCACAACTTGTGCTGGCACCACCCTGAGCGCCTTGTCAGGCTCCGCCCTCAGCTCCTCCGCAGCAAGACTCCGCCCTCAACACCTAGCTCAGCATCACCCATATTTTTTTAATTTCTTTATTGATTAAGGTATCACATATTTGTCCTCAACCAGCATCACCCATATTTCTAGTCGCCCTCGGCACCGCCCCAGCACTCGCCATGCCCCCTCCACCTATTTATTCCGCGCTCCGCACCGCCCCAAACCACTGCCCACCTCAGACCTTAAGCTAAACTACTCTACAGCCCAGACTCCAGATGCTGTCCAGTGCCTCCCGTCCTTCCTCCCCGTTCCCCAGATCTGGCCAGCCTGCCTGGGGTAACCTACCTGCTGCTCTTCCAGTCAAAAAGCAGGCTCATGGGAATGGTGGGGTCTCTGGGCCTGCAGGCCTAGGGGCCTGTTGACCCAGCATTTGGACCCAGAATGTGTTCCTCTCCAGTGTTCACTGGGGGAGTGGACGACTGCAGTGTCATCATATTGTTCACACTAACAGGGCAAATGATGCAGAATCCCTCTAACAGAAGATGGGATGGGTGGAAGAATTTTCCCACACTGAAGAAGGAAAAGGCCTGGCAGCACACTAAAAATGATAAAGGAGAGGTCTAAGAAATTAAGCTGGCTACAACACTGGAAAGGAGGCCAGAATCCTGTGGAGAAGAACCTGAAAGCTGTAGCTCAAGTTGACCTCCCAGGACTCTGGGGAAAGGAGAATTAGGGAGCCTCATTTGGTGGATAGCTAAGCCAGAAAGAGTTGGGAAATCACAACCCCAAAAGAAAGCCTAGTGGTTGAAACAGCTGCTCAAATGTCTCAGAATAGGCTGACTCAGTTGGTGTTATGGGTCCAGTTGGGGGAACTAACCCAGCTGGAAAGCACTGAAGATTGGCCTGAGCAGGGGGATAAGGGAGGTTTGTGGGCAGTTCTGTTAGGCAGACGAGCTCCCAAGATGGCCCAGTGAACCAGGGATCCTTAGAAAAATTATATTCAAACCCCTGTAAGAAGCTTAAAATAGATAAAATAGAACCTATTTTCCAAAGCACTTTCCAGCTATCAAGATGAAAGGGAATTGAGAACATTCCTGCCCTCTTCGTACAGTTCTCTTACAAGGGGGCTCTAGCACACCCAATTCCATTTAATTCAATAAATTTGATTAATGCCTACTATGGATCAGGTATTGTTCTAGGGTCTTGAATACATCAGTGAACAAAGCAGACAAAAACCCATAGCCTCCTCCTTGTAGCTTCAGGAGACCACAGAGAACAAGTCCCCCAGTACTAGGATACCCCTTGAGGACCCTTCACCAGCTTTACTGGCCAAGTGGGGAAGAGACTGGATGAGGAGGCAAAGGTAGATCCATGGTGAAGGTGCAAGAGTTATTTGTTCTGGAAGTATTTGAATTCCGTAACCATGGGAAATAACCAACAGCACTAGACAGGCAACCCTAAAGTGCCATGGAAAAGCAATGTTGGGAACACAGCTTTGATCAGACAGGCACAGACAGTGGGAGCAGCAGTAAACAGCCTCCACTCAAAAGGAGTAGCAGCTTAACCAGTGTTGCTCAGTGGTTAAGCTTCATCCTATAAACCAGGGGTCCTCAAACTTTTTAAAGTGGGGGCCAGGCCGAGACCGGTTTGGCTCAATGGATAGAGCGTCGGCTTGGGGACTGAAGGGACCCAGGTTCGATTCCGGTCAAGGGCGTATCCCCAGTGGGGGGGGTGCAGGAGGCAGCTGATCGATGACTCTCTCTCATCGATGTTTCTAGCTTTCTATCTCTCTCCCTTCCTCTCTGTACAAACTCAATAAAAATATTTTAAAATAAATAAATAAATAAATAAATAAATAAATAAATAAAGTGGGGGCCAGATCATGGTCCCTCAGAGAGCTG